TTGTATGTGTATGATTTGTATTGTGTATTTTTTGTTGTTTGTATATATTTTTTTTGTGCTTTTGTTTGTTTTGTGATTGCTTTGTCGATGAAGCTGTTTTGGCTTTTTGCACAATAAAGCGTTGTTTGTTTTGTTGTTTGTTTTTGTTTTGCTATGCACTCCTGATCAGAGTGCGGACTGTCTGGCTGCCGGTGGACATTGCGTTCCCTACTGCGCATCATATCTGTATTCAACACTGTTAATTCACTATTGCGCATCAGAAATTTGCCCTGTATTTCAAGAACTAAGGAGACTAGGACAAACCTATGTGTAGCATATCGTCGGTGAAATGTGCTAACGCCATTATACCTAATTTTACAGGAGAGCAAAATAACGGTACAAAAAAATATGTACACATGTAGGAAGTATATCCATGAGTTAATATGATAAAGAGATAAGAATTTTATTTGTTGGGAAACAATAAAGCTCATTATTTCGTGTTACTTCATTTTTTTTCAGACACAATAGGGAGATAGCAGATATTCGTCTTGTAGAAATAAGAAATAAAAATATATTTCTGGAGATAGCAACCTTTATTGTTTGAAATTTTGAAAATGGATTTGAATATTGCCCAAACAGATTTAGAAATAATAAATTAAATTTTTAAAAAAATATGATATAATAACCATATATAGTCTATCCAACGACAAGACCCTTGACAGTGATAGATGTGTCTGTCATTTTATTTTTAAATTAGTTTATTTTATTTTACAAAGAAATAAGTTGGTACAATTGGAACGCATAGCAGAAAATTAATATGTTTAAAATTTGAGTGACAAGTGATTACTTCAAAATATTGTGAAAAAAAACTGTGTAAAATTGAAAAAACCTAATCGAGTTATTTTATTTAAAACAATTACAGTATGTGTTAATACAAAACAAGCAAGGGTGTATTTTAAAAAAACACCACATACCTACCAAAAAATGATATAAATAAGATTTCCTGCTTTCAAGCCGTGTTTCAAGCTCAAGCAACTTCCTGCATTTATTGTTACATTTATCAATATAATTATTCAATATGATTATTATTTACCTATCGTGTGCTGCTATTTTACAGGTACTCCAGTTTTTAGTATCATATACAAGAGAGTATACAAACTTTATTTGTGGCTAATACAACTCTCTGGCAAACTGTCTCTGGCAGTCTCTGGGCACCGAATATTAACTGTAAACTATGGTCTGGATTTAACACTTAATTTTCCCGCGAATTTTCCTCCACTTAATTTTAAAAAACACAAAACACATGTAATAACACAGTCCAAAATGCAAAATAGTTACCATTTCTATTTGACATAATTTGACACAAAATTATAACCTATAAATTGGCAAGAGTTTGACAACTCTCAAAAATCTTAAGACGAGTTCACACGCATCGGCGTTCGTTTGTCGTTCTTCTTTTCATCTTACGTTAAACCAATAATATTGAAATATGATCTGTCATTTTTGAAATAAACTAATAAAACTGGTTAAAAACAACAAGAGATGACGCATGACGGATTTTTAATATATATAGTTAATAATAATACATAGTTAACTTAAGAAATATTAGAAACTTTTATTAGTTAAATAAATGGATTGGTATGGACGTCAACTGCTTTTTTTTCTGTCATCGTCTGTCGAAACCTTAATAATAATAGCTCCCGTATATAGCGTTTAACGCCTTGAGAGAAGCAAGGTACAGCTTGCCATGCTAGAGCCGTTCGGTATACAAGGAAGGTAATGTAGCTAGCACTACGCTTCAACCGCCTATTATCCTCAGGACTGCGAATCCCAAGTACTCATTTAAGGGTGAGTCGACCTAGGTACCCTATTTTTATTTTAATAAAAATAGTCGGCTGATGAAATGCCGGGTGTGGGATTCGAACCCACAACCTTGAGATTGGTAGACGAGAGCCTGTACCTCTACGCCACCGGGCACCTTGTTTCTGTCGAAATCTTACCTGATAAAAACACAGAGTATATCGTCGGTCTGGAAGCAAAATACACAGGTCCAAAAACGAATAAATTTTTAATGCATTTTTAATGAACTAAAATAGCGCCGTTTTGGACTTAATGAATATGAAAATGATTTACAAATTTAACTTATAGTCCTTAGAACATATCGTATATTTTTCCTCGATATGGCTCTATATTCTGGAAGAAATCTAGTAAAATAATATTACATTGGCCACTTCCAAATTTGTCGAATTTTATTGACAGGTTGCTTAGCCTATTTTTTTTTTATACGAGAACGGTAGCAGGCCGAACTTGTAAAACAATGAAGTCGTTATCGGTAAAATAGTTGCATGATTTTATTAAATTTTTATTATTTTTCTCCTTAATTTTCTAATTTTTATAAAGATTATGTCTCATTTACGTGGAAAAACGTTGAAAAAAAAATAAAATCCTTTAAAATAAAAAGGTATCTACTTTTTGTACAAGTAAGTAATATTATTACTAACAATAATAAAAGAAACAATATTATTTAAAATATTTATAGCACATCCATGAATTTCTCGTGTAGAGATAACTTTGTTTCTCCCCTTATCCTTTACGGATACTCTGTATTTACAGAATGGATCGACGCCAGGGTCGGATTCATGATACAAAGAATACTATGATATTGCGCAGGTTGGTCACTACGTCACAGGTGATAAACGGCACCATTGGTCGGCAAGCTCTGCGCGCCAATTTTAAATTGTCAAACAGATTGTGTCATCTGTGAAATTTGATTGTGTCAAAATGTGAAAATAATTTTTCAAGTGTCAAGCTCGATGTCAAAACATAACTTTTGGGGTTATGTCCTAATTCTTCCCTATTTTAGGTCTTTTTTTATTAGTGGCAATTGAACAATATGGATATTTTTTTGTATGGCGTATGACGTCACAGGTGGTATGCGCAAACTTAACGAAATTGGAGCCGCTATCGAGCATACCTTGTTTTCTTTGTACCATGGGTCGGATTGGCCATTATATTGGCGATTGCCAGTGATCGTAACGGAAATTATGGAGATTGCAGCATTTCGGCGGCTATTTCAGATCACTGGAAGTTAGCAGATATTATTGAGTAAAAATAACAATTTTTTTAACTGTAAAGAATTTAACTGCTTTCCATATTTATAGAGTATTTTTTTCTCTTTCTAGCGGTATAAAAAAACTTATTCACGTAAAAAATGGAGTTAGCAGGTTATCCCGTTTCACTGACGATATTTAGTTTCGTAAAAAAGTAGCAAGTTAATGTGAAAATCGCATCATTTACAAAAAACGCAACACAATACATCTACCCATACATCTATCCATACATCTACCCATACCCACACATCACGCACAGAAGCTAAACCGTGGCTAACGTCATATTCAAGGCCTGACTGTTGTGACAGTTCTACCGAAGTGGTCGAGAATTAGTAGTCGTAAACAAACCTATTAATATATTGTTTTCATTAGTTTCGCAACAAATCTGTGTTTTTTACGCGTTTCTATGCTAATAAAACTATACTAAATAATTTTGAGTGTACTCTGAGTGAATAGTGAACTATCTAGATCCGATTCATAACATCGTACCCGCGAAAAAAACCATACTTTCGGTAAAAATTATAGTAACACCGGCGATGCGAGCTGTGTGTCCGGGCTAGGAAAAAGTTGGGGAATTTATATAAAAACATAATTAATAGCGTTAGTGTTAGTGTATAGTGTTAAACCAACGTAAGTGACTTGTATTTTTAGGTAAAACAGTTTTCGTGTCTTTATTTTTTCTTTGTGAAATAAAAAATGCCGCAACATTGTTCTGTGCCTATGGTCTGTGCCTTGTAGCAGCAATTATAATAAGTACCTACTCAGGATCTGTCTACATTCTCTTTCCCAACAATATTAACTGTAACTAGGTCACATCCAAAACCTACAGAAGATGCTGTGCCTACAATTTTTCCAAATCAACCCTCTTATATGACTGTGCATGTTCCCAAGCAAAATTCCCGATGAAAGAAAACAAGATTTGGAAATTCAGGATGAAATAAATATTGAAAATTACTATTATTACGAAATATATATTATTATTATGAAATGGCAATATATTTTAAAGAAATTAAATGAATTGTACTTTATTTCAGTATTTGATATAAAAAAAATATCTTTATCTTTTTATTTACGATATATGGAGATGGTTACTTGATGAACATCGAACTACAAATTACTTAATGATAATAGTTAATTCTACCTGATATCCACATTTTTTAAATATGTTAGGCAAATTTTTACAATTATTTTTAATTAAACTTTAAAATGTATTCTGCCCTTATCATATACAATACATTTTCTTAACTTGTCGATAAAGTATAGTTTTCAATTTTTTTAATATTTGGAAACTTTGTCACAAGGTATATTATTACTAGTTGCTAAATACTCGCTAACGCAATTTTAGGACATGCTTTTTATTATCTGGATTTTATTCTGTTCATCTTATGCTGTTGTTTATTTCATATTAATATTCGTGTTTTAGATCTAAATTTTAATGCTATTCAATTACTTTAACGCGATAAAAAGTTAATGTTATTTTTTAATACCATTGTGTATAATATTTTTCATATTTATATCTGGCAAAACTATCAATAAATACTATTATTTATGCAAAAATTATATGCAGTACCATATGGCACAATACAAAAGCCCGACTATTGCGGTGACGTCACAAATCGATGTCTCTGGCCTGTATCTCATGTTGGTTATGGCTAAACATACATCATATTTCTTTTCTGTGGGAACGAATGGGAGTAGAGAAAAACACATAGATACCAAATTATAGCAATTGTGTTAAATTTTTTAGCGACAGACGAATAAGTATATTTTATATATTCTGTTTTGTATGTATAAAAGAGGACTTTTTCAATACGTGAGAGAAAAGAGGACAGTACGATCAAAAAGAGGACTGTCCTCTGCAATAGCGGACGATTGGCAACCCTACTTTAATATCCGTCTTTCAAATTGACTTTGACACGCCATTTCGAGCTACACACAAAATTATTTTCGCGTTATTACGCCAACAATGCCGAAATTAAAAGTTTTCCATTAAAAAATTTTAATCGGAAATTTGCCGAAATTTAATGAAAAGGGGGTGGCTATTATTTGTCTTTTCCGTTTTCAGCTGGTCCCGGAAAATGGCTACGGAGGAAAACGGGAACATCGGAGGAGCGATATTAAAGCCGACCTCGAGCAGTAACGAAGATTTGAGCGAGTACACGGACGCGGACGAGAGCATTTCAGCGCCGACGGAATTCCTCGCTGAGGTAAGTAAACAGAAATTCAGCCGTTCATTCAAGATCATTTCCAAAGAAAAACATTAAGACAATTCTAATTTCTAAATAAAAGCTTCTGCTGTAAGATATTTCTACGAATTCTCTATTAATATTTCCTCTATGTGATCTTCAGCCAACCCAAGATTTTCTTTAAAAAGAAACGAAGAAAAACTATTTCATATTTTAGAATATTTAGCATATAATCATGAGCACCCTGCTTTGCTTGGTGCATTTCAGTTGATTTAAAAAAATTCCGACCGCAGCGCTGTATACGACAGAAATCAAAAATTTTCGCTATGTGCTCGTATTTCACGCCATCCCAGTTACAGTTCATGTTGGTCGCTTTGTCTTGAAGACCTTTGTCATAATATTTAAATATTTTAATTTTTTGCTACTCCATTTATTGAAACTATAAAACACTCAGGTACGAGGTTTGTGTGATGTAATGCTGTTTCGGGTAGTAAAAAATAAATGAAAAAGAATCCTAATTAGGCATCGTGTTGTGTTGTTATAATTTCAAATGTTAATAAAATTGCAAGAAATGTTAACGCGTAAAGGAGAGCGTAATTAGGGCCTTGTTGGGTGCAATAACATTCAATAACTCAACTTTCCCGGTTATTCAGCTCTTCCGAAACAACATTTTATAGCTCCATAGTTTCTCAGACCGATTTGATCAAAAACAAAAATGGATTCAAGCAGTTCAACGAAACAAGTGAGTAAACAAAGTGCTCTTTACATAATCAAAAAATTAAATAGACATGTACTATGAGGGGATAAAATATAATTTGCAATATTAATGGAATACCTACATTATTTAATCAACTAGTGATTAAATGTTTTATGAACCTCTTCTAAAATTTTAATGATATACCTTTAAAAAATTTCGATATAGCAGAAATAGCCCCAATTATGGCCCCAATTAAGCCCCACTCGTTAAACCTATGCTCGCTACCTTAGTGGAACTCTTCTAAAAAGTGTTTTTAACTGGAGTAATAAATTATAATACAAGTTAGACCTTCTGAAGATATCAAAATATTTACATTTTATTTATTTTTAGAATTTTTACAAATTATACTTGCTAACAATTTTAGAATAATTATATTACAATAAATGTTTCGTATACTTGCTATTTAAACTTTAAACCCGTGTATTTGTATATATCGATTGTTTACGATATTCTCCGATGGTGGCAGCACCGACGGAGAATGCACCAAGCCTATAGCAGAGTAAGTACAAACCAACTAGGTATAATAAATACTTTTTGAAAAAAATATAGTTTTGAATTGCGGATATTACTTGTATTTTTATAACTTCTAAATTCTAAAAAAAATAAAAAATATTGTTTTATTTATTTATTAATGTTTCTGAAACTATCAAAACATATTTAACAATATCTTAATATTCTGTAAAGTGATAAAAAAAGAAGCGTATACAAAATGTAATAATATACAGGGTATTCCAGTTATAAAAATTATCCCAATCCACTCACACTTTTCTGAGCTACCCTGTAAAAGTTAAAAATAAAATATATATTATAAATATAGTCTGTCCAATGACAAGATCCTTGACAGTGTCTGTTATTTTAACTTAAAAATAGTTTATTTTATTTTACAGAGAAATAAGTTTAATGTGTGTATTAAAGCAGGAAATTAATATATTAAGATTTAGTGGACAAATGATTACTTAAAAATATCTATATAAAACTGATAAAATCCAATCGAGTTATTTTATTTCAAAAAAATAACGGTGTGTGTTAATAGATACAAAACAAATAAGGGGGGTGTGTTAAATAAAACACCACATACAAAAAAATTATAGAAAAGAATATTTCTTACTTTTTTAAAACCGGTACAGAAATCGTTTTATACAGGTTTTTTGATTTGTATATTATCATGAATCTATTTTTCTGTACCGATTGAAACCGGACTTTTAGGGCCGATTGAAACCAGTCTTAGTACCGGTACCGAAACCGGTATACCGGTCTTGAAAAAGACTGTACCGATACCGGAATATTTCAAAAGTACTGGTCCGGTACCGGTATACCGGAAGATCGAGCATGCCTAATCTGGGTCTTTTGTCGTATCCACTATATTATTTTACGGTCTTTCTTACATTTACACGTATCCAGTAGCTGGCGCCAGTTTTCCTGGTTACGCCTTATTACGAATATAAAGACATTTCCGTGCCAATCACTGGCACGGAAAAGTGTTTACAGGTTGCCACTACCATGCAAGTGAAACAGGCGCCAGCAACTGTATACTTGTTAATCAGCCTTTACTACTCGTAACACAATATAATATAGCTAGTGACTAAGTGAAAAGATGTTCCACTATTCTTTATATTTTTAATCTAGTAACGAAAGCACGCCACACAAATTTTGAAGTCTTTCTAGGATTCACTGTAATAACACTCTTTCTCTTCATTTTATTACTTTCTAAATTTAGACAATTTGTGTAAAACAGTTATAAAATAAACAAGCAATGATAAACAATAAGAACAGAAAAGCACAACTCGCGTAATTTAAATTCACACAAAAATTCACATAAATTCTAAATTGTCAAGAGAAAAGTTGTCAGAAACATCAAATAGGAATGTCATTGAGAATGCTCATTAATATTTTCATTATTTTTTCTGTTCCATGATACGCATGTTTTGAAACAAAAAGAACAAATTTCGAACAAAGTCTCGTACTTATCTTTTTTAGAATAGCAGATAATCTTATATATTCAAATCTCAAACAAAATGCTTTGTATGGAGTTCTATCAGTGTAGCCAGATCACGTCGTACAATGCAATATTTAATCACTACATTTTGACTACTGACGTATTCCTTACAGAGTAGAAAAACATGTTTATACCGACTTTTCGTAAACCTAATAACTATTCTGTTCAACGCCCGAACATTAAGGGAATCCCTTGGGCGTTAGATCCAGGATCAGCTTTCTCAATACATATAAATAAAATAAAGTTGTCTGACTATAATTTCAACAAAAGCCATTTCCTTTTTATTTGTTTATTCTTATATTTTACAAATTACTATTATGTATTTCTATTTTTTATCTATAGGATAAAATCTAAAACAACAGATGATATCGTCCTATTGCTGCCAAAAGTCACTAACTAACATTTTCCGAACAACCAAAAATTCAATCACTAACTATATTTTGAAGCGGAGAATTGATTGAAAAAGTCATTAGCTACGATTTCTGGCTATTTATGTTTTATTTTGATACCGAATTGTTACTAACTATAACATATTTATGCAATGCAATTCATCTTTAAACGCGTTTTCTCGGAAGTAACAAAAAGTAAGTTAGTGACTTTTGGCAGCAATGGAACGATATTTTGGTGTAATGATATAATATAATTAATCTTTATTATAGATATATTAAATAGAAACTACTATAATAGAAAAAATACCAGCTCAAACCTAAGGCATCTAACTAAAGGGGAGACACAACACTCCATTCATAAAATACTATTACGTTTTTCGTCGGTTCCTTGTGGATAGAAAGTCTAATTTACTTAAACACAATTTATTTTACACTAAGTAACAAAACAATAGCGATAAAACTACTTAAAGAACTATTTATAACTTATTTACAACTATCTATCTAAAAGGAATTTATTTTGAATTTAGCGCCACAATTGTACGTTTCGACCGAATCTGTTTGTTTCCTGTCCTCCTCAGGCTCCAGGCGTCGGTTTATGTATGAGAGAAACAGACTAGTCAGAAACAGAGTCTAGACTTTATTTTCGTATTTTCTATTTGCGTCTAGCCGCCGTTCTCTGTCTCTCCAGATTTTTCCACTCGTTCTCAAATAGGGACGAGGCATATTAGTCCGGTTAGGCGAGTCCATACCATTTGTTTACAATCATACATACTTTAACTCTTTTATCAGATAAGTTAAAAAGAGTTGAATGTATAAATATGACAACGCTGTTGAGTTGATGCATTTCTATTTTTCGGTCTACAAGTGGCGTGCGGTTTACCTGTCATCAATCGCGTAAAAATGTAATTTTAATTTAAACTTTGATTTATAATCATTATCATCATCATCATTCTCAGTTTATTCAACCATTTCCAATCATGGTGTAGCCTCCCTCACATATTAAGATACTCTTTTTGTAGCTGGGCCCATTGTTGTGTATTGTTGGCTATGCGGGCCCAAGATATCTCTGATAATTTCCTAATATCATGGTTCCATCTCAGGTTTGGTCTTCTAGGTCCAGGTAACTGTTGTCCGTTCCATCTTGCCAGGTGTCCTGCTCATTGCCACTTGAGGGATTTGATTCTGTGGATGACATCTATTACCTGGGTCTTTTGTCGTATACACTCTCATATATATGAGAGTGTATACGACAAAGTATATACTCAACATATGATATGTCATTGTATTCAGAGTGTCATTTCTATCGAATAAAGTACAAAAATACCGACGGTGTCATTTAAAAATCAAAAGTTGTAGTCCTTTCCGATGAAACAGGAAGTGACCAAAAACAATTGAATACGTCAATTGTTATAACGTCAATATGTCATTGTATTCAGAATGTCATTTCTATCGAATAAAGTACAAAAATACCAGGGATGTCGGGATGTCATTTAAAAATCAAAACTTGTAGTCCTTTCCGGTGTAACAGGAAGTGACCAAAAACAATTGAATACGGCAATCAATTCTAATTTATGTCATATACTAACATATCAAATTTTATCTGAAACCGTTTTTTTATGTGAAAAAATAAAAAAGTTATAGGAGTGAGCCACTTTTGAGAGGCACCGTGTATGTTAATTATTATAAATTGACATATAAATTTGTTGAAAAATTAATTCTTAATTTAGAAAAAAGTAAAATGGAAAATATATAATATTGAAGATTATTAATATTAAGATATTCTTTTCTTTTTTGCAGTTCCTCTCAGCGGTGATGTTAAAGGACTACGTAACGGCACTGAAATACTGTAAACTTAGTAAGTATATCGCTATACTCTATATCATAGTTCTACATATTTGATAAACTTACCTTAAGATGGATTCTCGCCTAAGTTTCGCTGACACAATTTGACTGATTCAGTGATACTGAACAAAAATAGAACGTGCAAAAATATTTTTATTCAAAAAGGTCTGTATCTTCCTAGTTTCAGTTGAAGTGAAAACTAGTTCTACTTTTCCTTCATATTGGCTGATCATTAGCGCGCCGGCTGACATGCAATTTTTAGTCGGCCGACTATTTAGTTGCAAAAGTGAAAACAATACATTCGTACGAAGCCAATCGGCCCAGCAATTCCATAAAAATATTTTAGTTACAAATCTGCAACTAAATAGTCGGCCGACTAAAAATTGCTTGTCAGCGCGCGCTTTTTAATGTTTTAATGTATAATTCTAAAGATCATTACAAAAGGGTATAAAGAATAATATTATTAAATAATAATAATATGTATAATCCAATACTAGATTGTAAATAAAATTTACTGCATAACGAAATATTTTTTATAGCATTCGCTTTGTTGTAAAGATGACCGGACCAATTGAATGTATTCAACAATTTAGCAAAAATAGAAAATGCGAACACAAATATAATTTTGAATTAATAATGAATCAGTAAAACTGTTAAGTGATAACCCGCCTTTTGTAGCAGCTTATAAAATCTAGTTTTAGGCATAATATACTAAGAAAGTTTTTGCTTTAATGTGGGAGACAAAGAATCACACTAAGGTCATAATAGAGTTCATGCTACATACATCTACTTGCTACCATCTACATACAGATGTACTATACATATATTCATTTTATATCTAAATTTATAAGGAAATTGTCAACGATCGTCTCTCGATAATCAAAATATTAATTAAAATATTTTTAGTAAGGTGCGTATAGTCTCTACTACGAGAGAGTCAGACAGTGATACTTATTGTCGGTTCCTTTAATTCAGAGGTAAATTGTATTTTCTGTCATTTTTTTATGACGTCTGTTAAATTCTTCCCTGGCTCATTGAACAGATTTGTATGTAATTAACACAATATAATCGAGAAAAAAAACGGCGTCAGCCATAGCTGTAAAATGAAGATCGCTGTCATTTTATATGTAAAATTATATGGGGAATGTAATTTCCAAGCCAACTGAACCTTTTTTTTTTATCATACGGTATTTGTTATTAGCGAATGAGTTTCCACAAAACAAGTTCACTGGGCAAACTTTTTTTTATATGACAATTGCAGGATAATAGAGTTTGTGAATAAAAAGTGCAACAACATATTTATTTAAATTTAATCAGATTAAAAAAAACTGAAAACTGAAAAAAGATAAAAGCTTGAAAGCGAGAATAAGTTAAATTTACGTGCTTGTTTTTTTACATAAAAATCCACTGTGCTAAAAGCCCGCTGAGACAAATTTCATACTGACTCTCCACTTGAATACAAATTTGCCTAACTAATAAAAAATAAATTTATGGCTTTAAGGGGTACATCTTTTCTCGTCGTCAGAAGCTTAGAGTATATTAGTCATAGCTCAAAGGGAATAAAAAATGAAAGATATAATTAAGGAAACCCATTCTATTTGGCATTCAAAATCATAAACATGTTAACAAATATGCATGCCTCTATTCTAATTGTGATTTTTACATCCGTATTTGCTCCCACTAGTCATAGATTATATCAATTCACTATTGATATTATACAGGTTGATCCGAACTGTATTCCGGAAACTTCAGCAGCATATTCTGCAGAATAAGTAAAAAAGTTCGTATAAATGTATGTCCTAAAATGCTTAGTTTCGGAGATACAGGATGTAGAAGTTCCATTTTTATTTAGATTTTTTCAAAATCAAGAAAATTGGTGTCTGGGAGTTTTTTGACATGAGAAATTTGATTTTGATGGCAATATGACTCCTATTAGGAGGGGGCGCCACCTACGTGTGTCTCAACTGTTTTGAAGAGTAGTAACTTTTCGTCCATACCTGTATAAAACTAATGAGTGAAAAAATATACTTGAAATATACTATTTCCGTGACTTTTTCCGTAAAAAATGTTTCTTTGTAAAAATCGCTACGAGCAACCGTCCTCAAGATATTTAGAATGGAAATAGTCAATACATGTCATTATTGACAAAAATAAACACGTCGAGAGTAGAGATGTTATTTTTTGACTACATTTGGGGAATTTTTATTTTTTAAATAATTAGTTATAAATTTTTCTGCGAAAAATGATGATAAACCAGTTTCTGTTGAACTTTTTAGACACAAAAACATTTCAAATTTATGATTTCCGTCTAATAACTATTTAGTCAATATATTTAATTTATGTCAATGATGTCAGGTATTGATAATTTCGATTCCAAATATCTCGAAAACCATTACCCATAGCAATTTTTACCAACAGTCCTTTTTTACGTAAAAAAGTCGTAAATGTATATTTTTTTACTCAGTAGTTTTATAAAGGTATGGAAGAAAAGTTATTAATCTTCAAACCAGTTAAAAAATATGTAGGTGGCGATCTCTACACGTAGGAGTCATATTGAGATCAAAATCAAATTTTTCATGTCAAAAAGCTCTCACAGACACCAATTTTTATCCAAATATTGACGTTACTTCATAAATTATTTGGAACAAATTGAAATAAAAATGAAACTTCTACACCATGTATCTCCGAAACTATTAAACATTTTATGACATACATATACGAACTTTTTTACTTATTTTTATATGCAGAATATGCCGGAATACAGTTCAGACCATCCTGTATTTATGTATCAATACAATCCTCACGAATATAATTGATCGCTTTTTATGTAAAATATTAGTTGCATTCGAAATAAAACTTGCAATATCTGACGGACAATGTCAGTACCATGTCATATCCTTCTCCGTGATTTTTATCCTTGACTATCTACCAGAAGTCTCAAGATGCTTAACACTCCAACACTCCAACACCAGTTCATCAGTTAAACTCCAACAACAAGGTCAAGTTAAACTTCAATCTGAAGATTTGAGCTTGCACAGTTTTATTCTTATTCTGAGATTGACATTTTTAGAATATATTGATAGGATATTTTGTTTCATTATATTATTCATTTAAATTGGTGTGATTTAGTTGCAAAACAGGCAGCGACTTTTTAATTCATAGGCCGCTTGCCGGCGCCCTACGATCAGAACATCTTTATATCAGTCGCCTTCGAAATTAGCTACAATCTGAATTAATTTTAAGATTTACTGCTTCCTGTAGGAGATGCGAGACCTTGTTGTTGGTGAGGAAGCTCTTAGTCAGGTGCTAGGGGGAATCCCCTGTACCACTTTAGCTAAATCTAAGGAGCATCTAACTGGCTGTAGTGTCGTGGCCAGGGAATCGCACCAAGACGTATAACGATGCTAGATGGGACTACCCTGTCCATCATACCAAGCACCCTCTACTGTCTATGATCATGTATCACGGGCAGAGGGTGTGAAGGATCTTGGCTTTTACCGCCAGGACCAAGAGGAGACAACTTTACCAAAAACCTAAATACTATGATGGCGGTCAAGGGGATGGTCGATCAGATCAAAGGGATATGTCAACCCTTATTTATCGTACCTATATTAGAGTATTCTCGTCTCCCTGACTTCTACATGTGGAGCTCTGTAGAATCGGGCCGCCTAACCTAACCATTGCGATGAAGCTGAAGGAAAATCCCCTAACAACACTGGAAACATTAACAGTGCAAATTCCAAGGGACCAACTCCAAAGGAAAATACAAGAGAGGCAGCTGACACTTAGCGAAATCAGCTTCCAAAAGTGGCACACAAGCTACCACCCCCTCTAGCAATCATCAGGAACCTACCTCTAGACTGAATAGGCTACACAAGCTACCGTTTCTTCTACCCGGTCTGGGTCAACTAGGCGGCCTAGACGACCCGCTGAGAGTAGATCTCAGTGGAGCAGGAGTACGGAGGTACTTCCGACTGCTCCACGACGGATTTACTCCAGAGGAAGAAAAAGCGAAAACAAGAAGGTTTGGTTAAAGCGAAAACACTTCTCGAAAAAGGGGAGAGTAGTGGAACTAAGAAACAGCCCGGTTCATCTCCACCAAGGGACAAGAGAGAGTGCAAGAAGCTCTCACCTCAGCTCCGGCAAAGAGAGAGAGAGCCAGGATGGAAAGCCGTCCAACACTGGGGGGGCAAGCAGGGACGTATCACCCACTTTGCCAGAACTCCAATGTTGTTGGAGTTCTGGTTGAACTCCATCGAGTTGGCGAGTTATCAACTCGAAGGAGGAGGGCCATGGTCAGGTCTTCCAAGGAGGCAATATAGAAAGGGGCATATATCCCCTTTTATAGATTCGGGATGGCACCGGTATCACGTCCAAAGAGAGACCAAGTTAAAGGAGTGGAGAAAATGGAGACAGATCCTCCAGCAAACTCACGGGTACCTCAGCCCGAGACAAGCTCCTCGATTGTAAAGGGCACAGAGGGCCAAACCCTAACCGTGGAAGGGTCTATACCTTCGTAGGAGGTATAGATATCTACTTCTAGGAGAAAGAACATCTGTTGTCAGTGGAGGATGGGGAATGCTCTGTCTTCCCTACAACAAGAAAATCCCCATGTATGATGAGTTATAGACTGTATGATGAATTATAACTCAAGAAAGGGGAACACAATAGACTTTTTAGGTCGCGATGATTAAACCCCCTCCCATCCATTCTACATTCTACATTCTACAAGATTTACTGTGGGAACTTATAGAACCTAAGTGTATAGAATTTAATGTAGAACAAAACTATTTGTAGATGATGGCAAGTAGACTTAGCATAAACTTTTTCACTTTAAAGTAGGCTGCTACAAAATATCTAACTGAACATTATATAAATTAATGTATAAACAAGTACTATTAATCAGGAACACGTTCAAATTAAGTTTAATGTAATGTTAAATCAAATACAAATTTGAAATCATCTAATAACAAGTAGAAATATGAATGTTAAAAAGCCATGCTATTAATTTCACAATTTAAACGTTGGCGAACATTTCGAGTTCTCATAAATGTCTAGTATGCACGCGAAAACGCTAAAATTAATTACCGTAGTCCGTCTCTTTGACGCAAAGTATTTCCATTTGAATTGAAAAAGTGATTTTTGTTTTACAGCCGCATTTTATTTCCCTTTTCAGTTCTTCAGTACGAACCCAACAACGCCACAGCCAAGGAGTTTTATCCACTCATTCTGGAGAAACTGAAACAAAGTAAGTATTTCGCAAACTTTTTTTACTCGTTATAAAGTTAATACTTTTGTGTAGGGGGGAATACTCAAGTTGATGCTCAGTGTTGAAAAAACACGCCTGTTTATCAAGGTTAATTATTACCACTATTAATCAAAGAACATATAATGACTTTTAAATTTCTCAGAGAAACTAATAATGTAATTTTGCAAAATAATCTAAATACAGGGTGGGCCAAATTGGACGCCTTTAAAGGAAAACACCCTTTTCTATAGGAGACAAAAACTAATATCGGTGTCTGGAGCTCAATTTTTATCAATAACATGATGGTGAAAAGCCCACACCGATATCTGTTACCGTTTCGGAGTTACGGGGTTACGGTTTCAAAAATGTGCATTTTTAACAAATCGCTATAGAAAATTTTGTATTTTTATGAAAACATTTCCAAAGCACCTTTTTACGTAGGATTTAATGGTTTAAGTATAATATTTTTTAAATTATACTTAATTAAACTTAAAGTGAAGTAAAGATTTGAAGTTAACGTCTCCTTTTTGCTGCCAGGGCTAATCTGGACGGGGCCTACTTTGTTTACGCGGAATCCGAACCGCGGTCCTCGGCCATATCATGGTCAGTGGCCTACCGACTTGACAAGTGACTAAATCGACTCTTACTCACGAGATATCCGATCTCATCCGGCCTCGAACCGGCGTGAATGAGCAGTGTGTGTCAATAGATTTTACAGTTTTGCCTTTTTTTTTGGACAACAGCACGATACAGAGTTTCGAACCGGTCATCCACTAGTATCGCCTTACGTCGCTTAACTTCGGTGTTCTATGGGAACCGGTGTTTCGACGTAGCTGGGCCGTCGCCCTTAATTAAACTTAGAAAAGGGCGTTTCTCTTTAAAAGTGTCCGATTTGACCCACTCTGTACACCAGAAACATAAAATATTCTGATTAAATAAACCATGTAAATTAATACTCTTAGATGATGGACAAACAAGTACTGATTTGTGGGAGTTAAAAGAATAATTAATTATGACTTTCTGATATCAGTCCAGACGGACGTTCCGCTCCATGTGAACGGCACTTACCTCTACACATACAACAAATTATTACGAGAAAGGAACAGATATGTGTAGTGTGTAGAAATAAACAAAGTTAGTGAGAGAGATCGCGAAAAGGTTTCAGTATGGCTGACTAGACTTACAGATGATTAATGATCTTATTTTTTTAGCTTCATACTTAAATACATAGGTACCTACAGTCTGTCCCCTGATTGACTTATTATCCTTTGGACATTTGTACGATTCACGCCGCCGCCGGTCTCTTTGGCTAATTTACTTGTACTCAGCGTACTATCCATGGCAACTTGGCCCAATACGAATACCTCCATAGCTTCATTTACTACAGGATTTTCCCTCTGCCTCTTTTTATTCATAACGGAACCAGTTTCGCAAAATTTTGCTACTAACTCGCAAACAATTTTGCCATAAAGGCGTTTGTCAGGATGGCGTTCATTGAATATCTGCGCAACCCGATTGCCACATTCATTATTTTTAAAATAAAGATCGATTATTTCTACTTTTTCTGCAAGTGAGTACACCATAATAATTGTTAAAAAGTTTAACGATATTTAGAAGAACTTCAACGCATAAGTCACAGAACAGCTATCTAGCAACTACCGCACCTGACCGTTCAACCTTGTGGCAAGTGAAAAAATGTGTAAACATCTAGAAATAATAAGAAAAAACAGCAAATTGGTCGAAGGAATTTACCCTTCTCATTTACTCTGACTTAATAAAAAAGGAAAAACTTTTTTATTATTGACATTTTGAGAAAAATGCATTCTTCATAAAAAATGTTGCTTGTTCTAAAATGGTTTATCTCGTTTATACTTTTCCAAATTTCCATACCGTTTTAGAAATAATTAAAAAAAAATATAAGAAAATGGTTGATTTTTTTCTGTCCTTAAAAATCAAGAGGCCTTTCTATTGCAATATAATTTTGAATTCATTCTTTGATAGATCGTTATTATTATCTATTCTATTAGCTAGTAGTAAATTTAAGTATACAGGGTCGGTCATATCAAAATTTATTTTTTTAACGCAACCCCCTGTATATTATTGCATATTTCAAATTCTTCCTTCAATTTTAAGCAATAATCGTAATACATGTAATGTACCTAAATTCAACCATTTCCCAATTATGAACTTTTGATTTTGAGACGTTAAACTAGAATTTTGTAATTTCCAGACTTAATAACTCGGAAACGGTTGTTTCGGGACATTGTGTGTATCTCGATTTTTGCTTAGAACTGAAGGAAGAATGAAATATACAATAACATACATAATATACCATTTAAAAAAATGAACCTTTGATGTGCCACGACTTTATGACCGACCCTCTATACTTAAATTTATTACTCGCTAACAGATATTTAAAAACCCTATATAACTTTAATATTTAATTTTTTGGGGTTTTGATTTAACAATCGCAATCAATCAGATTGAATCAAATTGACCGTTCCTATACATATCAGCGACCCTGTATACGTGTTCAGTAAAAGTCGGAAATTCAGTAAATGTTAACAATCACTAGGAAATACTAATTACGCATTAGACCAGTCCAGTAAATGGTGTATTTTCATGAAAGTCGACATTTACTAGTAATTGTTAGCAGTCGCTAGTGAAAGTAAAAGGGAGCGCTTTTTGATGGAAGTTGGAAAAAATAAAAGTTTTACGTACATTGAATCGTCTTCATATTTAAGCTGACCCACTCCTCTTAAAATTTCAAGAACACGATAACAAAACACAAACGCTAAAATTAAAATATTTACCTTTGTACTTCACCACAAAAAGCATCTAGCGTCTATCCGCTACCGGGACTATCAATCGGGGGACTATCAATCGACATGAAGTTGCTGACGGAAGTCAAAGACGGCTGGGGAGTGACAATCGATGATACTTTTGGCGAGGTCAAGCCTTAGGCTGACAACATAGTGGCGCGACGAGGAGAGCGGCGAGCAAGCAGCGCGATATCGAGCCTCGAGGTGCTAATACATAGTAAAGCGATCTGCTCGCCGCTCTACCACAGCTTAAGTAAAAACCAGCTCGGACAGTGTAGCGTGCCGCTTTGATCTTTTTACGCTCGGATTTGCGATTCGAAAGAGGGGGAACACTGGAGCGGCGAGCTCTCTCGCCAAAACCAATAGCCGCGTAAGCGCCAGTCAGCCCAGAGATGTATTCAAAAAAATTTTACACGTGACGTAAAAAATTATTCGACTGGTGCTAGAACATAATTTAGATACACGTTTTTTAAATTGTTGACTTTAAATAAATATGCATTCTCAAAGAAAAACATTTAAAAAACAAATTAGTTAATTTATTTCTAGAAATAACAGCAAAATGAAATAGGTACATTGATTACTTATAGTTATTTACGAATGTTTCTAAATTAGGAGCTTTCGGTTTTTGTTTGCTACATTTAAGTTCTTATTAATATTCTTTAAGGTATAATAACTAACTTTTGCGTATAATTTTAACAAAAAATACATTATAGGAAAATTTTAATTGATGGTTGAATTTAATTGTCTGAAATAATTTAAGGAATTTACATAATATATTTTCATTTAAGGAAAGTTCTTCAAAATTGTTCTGAAAAATTTTATAAAAAAACTTTTTTAAAAACAAGTTTTTATTTAAATACACTAAAAAGAATAAAATAAACTTTTTCTTTAAAACTTTTATTATGAACTTATAACGTCATTACACAATTTTAATATTATATAAAAGCTTGTCGCGAGATTTGAGTGTACAGTTGCACTCATAAAAATCTGGTACGACAACTTTATCTTGTAATTCCTGGTCTAGTGGTCTATCATAACACAAACTTTGAAAATGAGACAGGGTAGACACAGGTTTTAGTTAATTTAGTTGTTTATCGATGTAGAGAAATCTCGCGACAAGCTTTTATATATCTAATATTAAAATTGTGTAATGACGTTCTAAGTTCATAATAAAAGTTTTAAAGAAAAGAGTTTATTTTATTCTTTTAGTGTATTTAAATAAAAGCTTGTTTTTAAAAAAGGTTTTTTTATAAAATTTATTTTCTACTTTTTAGTTATGCTGGTTTCTCAGTGCCACACACTTAAACTCAATTTTTTTCTTAAATAACTTTCTATGGGTATCCTAATAATATGTATATCGATTTTCATTAAAAAAGGAGAACTTAAAAAAAACGACAGCTGTCAAATTTGACAGTTCAAATGTGAGACAAATAAAATGAAAACCGACTATGGGGTAGGGGGCATCCAATATATCGATTTTTATCAAAATCGGACAAATTTGAAATTATTTGACAGCTGTCACATTTGACAGCTCAAAATTTTTTTCTTTCATTTTAGCCCACGGCCATCATCGATTTTTATCAAAATCGGACAACTTTGAAATTTTTTTGACAACTGTCAAATTTGACAGCTCAACATTTTTTTTTCATTTTCGCCCATGGCCGTCCTATATATCAATTTTTATCAAAATCGGACAACTTTGAAATTTTTTTGACAGCTGTCAAATTTGACAGCTCAAATTTTTTTTCTTTCATTTTAGCCCATGGCCATCCTATATATCAATTTTTATGAAAATCGGTTGACTTTGAAATTTTGACATGTCATTAAACTGTCATTTTTTCAAGATGGCCGCCCATATATTTTTTTTCATATGTATATACCCACAATATACCTATACAGGTTGTTAAATTGTTCATTACTCGCGGCAAGAGTTTTATGCAGCTGTCAAAAATTCGGGTCATGCCTTGCAAAAAAATGTATTGTCATCGGGACTGAACCTACATGCCAAATTTCAATCTCCTACAATAAAAGGAAGTGGTTTTAATTTAGCTTACAAGATTTGCCCCGAACAAACATACATACATACATAGATAGTTACATACAAAGCAAGTTAAATAAAAGCTTATAAAAATAGCCTCCAATGAGGAAACTAAATAAAAAAATGGTCACTTGGCATTA